TGTTGAAGGAACTAATAAAATATAATAGCCTCAGACTCTTAGTTCATCATTGGCTATATTTGGAAGGCTCAGATCAGTGTAGCATCAGTGTATCTCTGGCCTCAGAGGGGTCATTCATCATAGGCCACCTTAGGTCAAAAAGGAGCAGCAATATTCAGAAGTAGCTACTCTACTTTCTACCAAATTCTTGTATTGTACAGTAGGTCAACATTAGCATAAGACATAGGCTACCGTTGCTTATCTTCCATATAAGCTTCCATTATTCTTCCATTGTAAATCAGAACACTGAATATACATCAATTGTTCATCATATTTACAATTTGAAATTCATCAATACATCATGCAGAAAGCTTATCTATAAATTCGCTTAGTTAAAAATACCATAAATTAATAAAAATCAATAAAATAAAATGCTTCTCATTTTTCTTTAAACTAGGTATTGTGTTTAGCAGAATATTGACTCCATGATTTTCGAGCTCAGTATTTCATAAGAATATCAAATCGACACCACGAAGTTCCAAGACCCAAAACAAACCTACAACCACGACGATCCCGCTTGCTTGGTATTGCCCACAAAGGATAGAGTATGGAGTGCTATATTGCAACCACAACAATAGCCACAAAGGCTAAAATGAGATGAAAATAGAAAACACAAGGCAGAGAGCACGAAGCAAAGGCAGCCGATTTCACTCACACAAAGGGGACAAAACAATAACACTTTCACACACAGCCAAAGCCAAACGATGGTCAACATATATAGCATAGTAGTGAGAACAAATAGGTAGTGGTAAATGGGCTATCAACCAAAATCCGTCCAATGGATAATAGGTTGGGTCATGAGTAGCTCTAATTAAATTTGGATACTACCAATGGCCAATTAGGTTATAGGTTTAGGTCGGTACAATAGTTGTGTCGATATTTCACTTCAATCATTGGTCGATATCGACTGAATAATTAATGATTAATATCATTGAGCGGGAGGTCATTTGACAACAATTTGCCTAATAAACCTCCCCCTTTGTGTAAAAGGATCTGCAAAGAAAAATTATTACACGTTAGTAATAATTCAGAAAGGGAGAACCAATAAAATGGAAAATTATTTGCCTCTATCAATGCTTAGAAGATCTTTGCAATTTCTAAACTTCACTATTGGTAGCACCTTAGTGCCCATGTCTGAGGGATTATATTGTGTGTAATTTTTTAAGTATTACAATTTCTTGTGACACAATATCATGAAATATATTCTAACATCAATGTGATTGGTGCGCTGGTGAGAAACAGAATTTTTGCATAAATGTATAGAAGACTAACAATCAGAATATACTACAAATAATAATTTAAAACACAATGTTCATGAAATAGGCCTATAAGTCATAAATCTTCTTTAATAGCGTCACTGGTAGTAATGTATTCAGATTCTATCGTGGATAGTACAACTGTGTTGTAACTGTGATTTCCAACTGATACCAGAGTTAGACAAAGTAAACACATAAGAAGAGGTAAATTTTTTATTATTTTTATCCCCAACATAGTCAGCATTTACGAAACCCTTCAATTTCACACCCTCCTTATTAACGTCAAACCTTAGACCTACATTACTAGTTCCTTTTAAGTACCTTAACATCCATTTTAGGGCTTCCCAGTGCTCAGAACCAAGATTAGACATGTATCCACTAAGAGTGCTAACAGCAAAAGCTAAATCTGCTTTAGTGCAAACCATCAAATACATAACTGAACCAATCACATTGGAGTATGAGATTCTACTCATGCATTATATTTCTTTTTCATTATAGGGGTTGATCTTATAGATAATACAAAATGATTAACTAAAGGTAATGTAACAGGTTTGCAATAATGCATGCTAAATTTCTTTAACACCTTTGAAACATACGAAGACAGATGTAGAAACAGAACATAATTGAACATCTCTCTTTCAATTTCCATATCTACGATTCTTTTAACTTTTCTTAGATCTTTCATGTCAAACTCACCATTCAAATTCGTTTTTATGTTGATTTTCCACTTAGGTGATGAATCAATTAAGAGCATATCATCTACATATAGCAATAAGAATGCATAGTTATTGTTAGCATCATTATGTTGGAAATATAGGCAATGATCAAACTTACTCCGTTGAAACCCTATGGCTAATACAAAAGAACAAAATCTTTTTATACTACTATGTAATTGATTATTTTAGGCCATATAGAGATCTTTTCAAGAAGCACACATAATCAGATTTTAGTTTGTCTTTAAAACCTTTTGGTTGATTCAAAAAAATTTGCTCATCAAGTTCACAATGTAAAAAAGCAGCTTTTACATCAAGTTGTTCAAGTTCCCAATCAAAATGTACAACCAATACAAGTATGACTCTAATAGTGGTATACTTAACAACATGTGAAAAAATCTCATTATAATCAACCCCCTATTTCTGAGTGTACCCCTTGGCTACTAACATAGCATTAAATATTAAGGGTTCAAATGCGCTAGTACTTTCCTTAACCTTAAATACCCACTCACAGTCAATGGTAGATTTATTCTTAGGTTTAGGTACTAGCTCCCAAGTTTGATTCTTTTCTAGAGAATTCATCTCATCATTCATTGTCTTAAATCACTTTTCAGATTGTTCACTTTTCATCGCTTCTTCAAAGGTCTTTGGCCCTCTATCAGCTAACTCTTCATAGCTCACATGAGAAAAGGTTAGCTCATACTCATATCCAAATCTTATAGGTGCTCTACATCGACTCCTCTCTCCATCCCTAGTTAAGTTATAATCTACTAAAGGATTTTCTTCTCCAGGATGTTCTTCTATCACTACTTCATCTCTCTATTCTCCATATCAAGTTGTTATTCTTGAGTCTCCACCTCACTCTGTGTAACAGAGATGGATGTGCTAAGTGACGGATGTGCTAAGTTTTTCTAACTCTAACTTCAACTGATTTCTCTCTTCACCTTATTTTTCTTCACTCACATGTTCAGATTCAGTTTTAAGGCACGGTATTTCTCTCTCGTTGAATGTAACATCTCTACTCGCAATGAACTTAACCCCTTTTTGGCTTCTATCCCACAACCTGTAACCCTTGACACCTTTAGAGTAACCTAGAAAAATACATTTTCTGGCTCTAAGTTCAAGTTTTTCCCGACTCTAATGAGAAAATACAGTATAGCCAAAAGTTCTAAGCGTAGAATAATCACTTAGTTTACAGACCATTTTTCATGTGGAGTATCACCATTCAATGCAGCAGATGGAGTCGAATTAATTAGATAACATGTAGTCATAACAGTTTCTCCCCAAAAAGACTCTGGGGCTCCAGAACTTAACATCATGCAACGTACTTTATCAAGTATGGCTCTATTAACACTACAACAAAAAGAGTCATTCGCAACATTAAAAAGGCAACATTTGTTGATAAATGTTGCCAAAAGGATCTTTTGACAACATTTTAGGAAGTGAATGTTGCCATTAATTAGTATAAATGA